TAGGTAGGTAGGAACACCATATATCCACCCCCCCCCCCCCCCCACCCCAAAAAAAAAAAAAAAAACCCTAAGTGTTATGTGCTTACAGCTGTTCTTTGAGTGATGTGCTGGACAATCTATGTGGATGTCGTTTCGTGTTGTGAACCATGAAGTGCTTTATAACTCTCCGTAGGTGGAACCCTCTCATCTGCTCCAACCAACCCCTAGCATACAGGTGTGGTTTTGTCCTGTCTCATAGTAGTAGACAGTCTGAGCAAATCTCTGCAGCATGCCGTGTGTGAAAGGTGCATCGCCCTGCCTATGTTCTGACGTCAGGTCGAAGCAGAAATATGTGTTGCACTGCTGCAGAGCTAGGAATTGCCTGTGGAAGGTTCTGTGCTGCTTGTTTTTCTGCTCATCTGGCTTCTTTGTTGTCAATGTGGGCCATCTTTTGTTGTGCAATTGCCACACCTGCCCACCGCCTTACCCCAAACACAATGCGCCATCATTTTGGATGTATAGGACCAGAAAGATAGATTGTATACATTCATTATCAGGGTGTGTTATGTTCAGGGGAAGACGGTAGGTCCCTATGATGCATGGGGATTGTGTTATGTATAGACTGTATAAAGTCTATTATTGACATGAAGACATACTCATCGTGCGCATAGGTGCCCACACAGGATAGGTTCATCTTAGTGTGCGTTACGTTGGTTGCTATAGAGGTAAAGCTGTTTCGATTTTGGATCTGCTCATCCGGGTGGAAAACGGGTCGTTGTGGTGACAGTCTACAACACACACACACACACACACACACACACACACACATGCTGGAGATTTGCCTATGTGGTGAGACGGAACTCGCGATTCATGGGTGCAATTCATGGGCAATCCTCAGTGCCCACATATTGTCAGTGAACCTGACTCTGTTCGTTGCGGTGATCCTTCCTTTGTGTTGTCCGCAATTCTGTCTGAACCACCAGTACCCCCGAGCCTGTTTTGCTGAACCCGGTGTTTACACTGACCGTGGGTTTGCGTCGTGAATGGTTGGGCCTAGGGGGTGACAGGAAGTAGGTAGACCGTAGGGGTGTGTGTTTTTTAGTTTGTGCCAATTTTCTTTTTTTGGCTCGCAAAGAAGAAAATTGGTTTCCCTAGCGCAGCAGAACCTACCCTACATCCATGTTTTTTTCTTTTGGAATTTTTCGTCGAAGGATTTGCCATAGTTAAGACCACTCAAAATTGTGTGCCCAGAGAGAAAAAGTCCGAAAAAAAAAAAAAAAAAAACCATTGTGCGGCCCCTCTTCGCAACCCCCTTGGAACTGGTATGCGAACCTGCCTGCGGCCTCGGCGTACTCTTCCCTCACACAGCAGGACCTTACTCGGCAAGGAGGCAAAAGCTAATTGTTTGATTGAAAAAAAGAAGTATTATCCCCTGATCCAGCAGAACTTACCCTACACCCCTTTTTTTTTTTGGGAAATCTCTTCATCAAGGCAGATGAGAAAAAAAAATTGCTCAAGCTGGGACGTTCAAAATTGAGCCCCTCGCCAGACACCCCCCATCAACCCGGTATATCAAACCTGCTTGTAGCCCTCTCTGCGTATACCCGTGCAGGGGGCCGGCGGTGGAAGGAGGGGGGAGGGGGGGGAGGGTATATAATAGGATATGCGTAAAATCCGTAAATGTGATGGGATGCTTTGTGCTGTCCATCGTGTTTCAGATGCCATGAATGAATACTTTCAATGTAGTAGAACATAAATTTTACGTCAGCTACCCAATAATAAATCAGAAAAAAAAACAACCCATATTACCCATATTACCCATATTACCCATGTGTCGAGACATGAATGGAAACATCCTTGACTTTGTCGAGCATAGCAAACACATTGGTCCCGATTACAGCCGCGGCGGCGGGGTGGGGATGGCTGGCGGTCCTTTTGGCTGTCGGAGGACTTATTCTGCTGTACAGATCAACAAGGTTAGTAGGCCAGATCCTTTGTTTTTGTTTTTTGTTTTTTTTTCCTGATTGCATACAAATCCTCTTTTCTTTATTGGTTTTTCTGACTTTTTCATTGTGGTATTTAATATTTATTGATGGCTGTTAAGTGGCAACTGGGGATTAGCTTTGCGAAGCTGCTGCCGCAGAATAGCTACAGAACTATTTTGGGGTGCTGGAACTTGGAACCACCGCTGCTGCCAAGGGACCGAGAAAACGCCCAGTTGGTAAACTGTAGAGTTGTGTGTCGACCCTCAGCCAGGCTTGGAAGACAGCGCTGGCACAGACTTGGCGAGGGAGCGAGGGGGGGGGAGGGGGAGGGAATTGAGAATGCTCCCTGGTCAGGTCTGGTTGGGATACCACCCCAGGCTTGGGGTCGGGCAACCAAAAATGAGTGGTGGTTTATGAATGGTCTCATGCTTTTTCTCATCTGACTTGCCGGGTACACATTTTGGCTGGGAGGGAGATTGGGGTTATTGAAATTAAATCCTAAAAAGGTGTGGCAGTGTTTGCCAGCCTCCTGAGAGGTCTCTCTGTATGTTTCTGACTCCTGCCTCTCACTGTTATTATGTATTACAGCAAAGATCCTGGTTACATCAAGAGCATTCGAAGTAGTCCCGAGGAACTGAAAGATGCAGAGGTGAGCTATGTAGCTGTTTTTTTTTTTTTTTTTTTTGCTTCTTTTTTCTTTTTGCCGTTTGTTTTGTAAAGTGCGTTTTTTTTTTTTTTTTTTTTTTTTTTTTTTAAAGGGCGACGGCCTTGTGAGATATTATCATGGCTATGATCCGGACGTCCGGACCGCCGTCCATACGGTCTGGATTCAGTCCGGACTCCATACGTCCGGTCTGCAAGGTCCGGATCTGCCAAAATTCGAGGGAAAAAAAATAAATAAAAGGGTCCAGGACCCTTCCCCATTGAGGAGCCAAGCCCCCAAAATTGTTTTCGGGGTTTTTCAGTCCCGTTTATGCTTTTTTGGGGGTCCGGACATGCTCTCTCTCTATAATAATTTATTAGACAACCCCAAGTTTTTTATTATTAATAATTCATTACCTTTTATTAGTTTTTGAAGTCTTTTTTGAAGCTTTTTTGTAGTTTTTGACTTGTAACTCAAGTTTGGTTAGGAATTCTGACATGACTCTGAGGCAAAAGTGGTTTGCATTGTTATTCTGCATAGCATACTTTTTTTTCAGATTTTTATTTTTTTATTTTTTTTCAATGGTCCGGACATTTCCGGGCCTGTCCAGACATCCGGACCGTCCAGATCCCCCCATGTCCGGATGTCCGGAAATGTCCGGAATTCCGGAGGTCCGGAAACTACCGGACACGGGTCTGGTTCCATGTCCGGAAATGTCCTGGTCCGGGTCCGGCGTAGCCATGGATATTATCATTGAGCTGACCGACCCTACGCAATTAATTAGCAGTTGGTTTTTCTCATAGAGTTCCGTCATCTGGATTCGAACACAGGTCTGTATTTCAACAGTTCATGGGTGTACCCACTGAGCTAGGCTTTTGGGTAAGTGCGCTCCTTTAGTTCATGGATATGCGACAATATATGTTATCGTCCGTTTATTATAAAGAGAAAATTGACTTTGTGAAGTTTGAAGTTTCTCTCAGGAAGAGTCGAAAGGTACCCAGCCCATGTGGGTGAGCGGTAACACAATTTCGCCGTCATGAGTTCAGATCCTGAAATCAAATGAATAAAATAGTGCAAAGGGCTACTACCCCCTTGGGGGAAAAAAGCCAAAAAGGAAGAATTCGCTAAAATTGGAATGATACAAAGAATATTAGCATGGCCCCTGTGCAAGGATGACACACGCACGCACAAAAAAAAAAAAAAAAAAAAACGAAGGAAGAGAAAGGAGGAAGAGTTAACAGGAAGTGGGGTGGTACTGCTGCGCATGTAACTGTTAGAAAAAGAGAGCATGAATTCAAATGTTCAACCTTCAAATCCTGATGAAGTAAAAGTAATAAAATATTAAAAACTAATGTTATTGGTTACTCCCCTTGTAAAGAAAATGAGAAAAAATCCCCTACACGGTCTACACCGCAAAAAATGAACGCCATTTTGTTGCCCATACCGCCCCAAGAGCATCCATTTTAGCTGTGCCCTAGGCAATGACCAGAGAGCGTTCTATTATACCCAGGGCCTGGTTTAGGACCATTAGGACCCCTGAAATTATGGTTATAACCTGTGTTACCTAGCGGGCCGCCCGGGTCACCTGGGTTTCCCAGCCGGGCAAGGGCCAAGGAAAGTCCCTGGGGAAACAAAATTCCAAAAAATCCGAAAAACACTTGTGCAGAAAAATAAACCGAACGACTTTTGCCTCAGGGTCGGATCAAACTTCTTTGCGAAATTAGAAATAAAGGATGCAATATATATATGCCTCTAGTGCCAGCGGCATGTCTGGAGTGTATGTTTTGGCTGTGACAGACCTTTCTTTGTTTCGTGGGTGTTTTGCTTGCTTGTGATGGGGTGTGAACCGACAGTCTGTAGAGTTTTCCATCTGGTGTGGGTGAGTGATAGTCTGCTTTTACTTTTGCCACAGGTACCTTGAGGGCAGTGGTTGGTGGTCCCCACCACCTCAGGGTATCAGTTGTCGGGCAGTCGTTGGGGTTAAGGTGGATTATCACTTACAGTGTAATCAGTTAGGGGATTCTGCAGACTGTTGAGGGTTCAGCCTCCTGATGAGTCGGTGAAACTCCGATGAAACAGTTTGCCACAGCCCCTCGTTTGTTGTCCTCTTCTCCCTCTCTGCCTACGCTTTACCGGGCAGCTCTGTTTGACTGATGAGTCGGTGAAACTCCGACGAAACAGTTTGTCACAGCCCCTCGTTTGTTGTCCTCTTCTCTCTCTCTGCCTACGGTTTACCGGGCAGTTCTGTTTGTGACGATATATATGTATATATGTAATATATATTTTAATTCATTTTTGGCCCTACCGGGGAAGTGGTCCCGTACCAAATATATCGGATCTCAGTTATTCCTGGTACCCAGCAGGTTTTTGTTATGCCCTGGTGCTGGTCTACAAAATCTCTGTGATACCCCGAGGCTTAGTAAACTGCTCCCTCTGCTATGTCTCTCTGTCTTTCTCTCTCTCTATCACCGCTTGTCTGCATAACCGGATGCGACTGCATCTGTGCACAAGCGAGTGAGTGTGTATGTATGTGTGTTTGATGATATGTGTGAAAGCACATTGTGCATAGCTCCAGCACAACGTAGTTGTACTCCCACTGGTGACCCCCTGGCGGAAAACCATGCACAAAGACTTGAAGAAAATTCCCACATAACTCTTCGTCGGACGGACCGGATGTTGCAAGGGTGGAAGGGGAAGAAAAACACAAGTCCAAGACTGAGAAAAAACGAAGTAGGAAAAAAAACACACACACCAGTAGCGAAGGGCTGTGTTTTTTTTTTTTTTTTTCGTGGGACTGGCACTGACTCATCAGGAGGCAGAATTTTTGACAACTCTACGGAATCTCCACGTTGATGTTTTGAGTCAGGATCTCCTTTAACCCCTTTCGCAATGGTTAGCTGGATGACATCGCAAGATGCAAGGCAAGGGCGAGGACTGTGAGGCAAATGTGAGGCACGAAGGCTGGGCGATGCAGGGAAGGCGGGTGGGCAGCCAAACAACCAAGGCAAGCATCTGAAAGGAAGTGGGGCTGATAGACCCCAAGAGCACACTGAAAGCAGTGCCGGGATATAGCACACATTTTCTCAGATAAAATAAAAAGGAAAAAGAAGTAATAGTCAATAGAAAGCGGGGCTTCCTCATCTAACGGTCGTTAAACATCTGGCATCGAGCTCTTGTCTTTCCGAGGAGCAGGGTGTCGTCATAGATTTGTGTCTGAACTTGTGTGTCGCTTTACGCCAATGTTTGTGTTTGGTCAATATATTCTCAAAGACATGGGTCTGTGCTTGTGTACATGTGTGGTTGTATGTGCGTGCGGGTTTTTCTCTGATTGCAGGAACCTCTCGTAGCAAGAAGAGGGCTAGACTCCCCTGCACTATGGGCAGGACAGTGGTCGCAGCTGTGCCCAACTTGCAAGGTGTGTCATGTTCCAAGTCGTATTGCTTTAAATTGCTAAGTATGGGGTGGGGGTGATGTTTGCAAGTAGGTTTTCAGAGCTAAGTTATGAACCTCAGTCTTAGTGATCTGTGTCTCATAGTTTAAGCGAGTTGGATTGGAGCTCGGAGAGCCACCTACCCCCCCCAAAAAAAGGAGCTCCTCTTGGGGCCTTCTTTTTTGCCTACACTTGCCTGATTGCAGGTACGTATGTGTGCACCTGTGTGCTGCAGTAACCGAATGCTGGCATTCAAATGTGTGTGTGTGTGTGTGTGTGTGTGTGTTCAGAGAGAGAGAGAGATTCTACCTAATTCCTGATTGCAGATACGTGTGGTGCAGAGTGTTTGGCTTCTGAATGTTAGGGGGTGAAGGTGTGGATGTGTGTGTGTGTGTGTGGGTGGCTGTGGTGTGTGTGTGTGTGTGTGTGTGTGTGTGTGTGTGTGTGTGTGT